TACAATGTAACAATAAAGCAAACGTTTCTGATAATAAATGAAGTTTACATGAGAGAATTTTCTACCTTGATGAGTCTCGTTTATCTTTGTTGTCATTTTGTTTGTAGATAAACATTCAATAAAGAATATTTCACCTTCTGACTTATGAAGGAAAAGATCACGTTTCTGTTACTCCATATTTCATTTTTTGACATACATTGAAATCCTGATAGAATTTACGAAGAGCGGAAAAAATGGCATGTATTGTATGATTTTTGTTTAATTTGAAATAGCTGTAAGTTATCTTTTTCGAAAGCTTAAAATCCTTTTAGGCAGGAACTTTTAAGTTGATCAAAATGGAAATCGTATTAAAATTATCTTTTCTCCAGGCAAAAAAAATTGACGGTCCAAAATGGAATAATTTTGAATTTTAAAAAATTTCGTATTAAATAGGTGGGTTTGTATTTCTGTTTGTTTGTTTGTCTGCGTGTTCTATGTGGCCTGATCATGTTTTTGAAACAGATGTTTCACAAATTCAATCACATTTCTCGCATGGAATAAGATGAAATTTATTTGAGAGACTGTCATAAGTAATAATGAAACTATTTTACCCACAAATTCTCCTACTACGATATCTGCTTTGTGAAACAAAAAACGATAGTTAAAACTTTTCTTTTTTATTAATTTTTAGCTAGATACGAGAACCAATTATAACTTTCTTAGATTGATTTTAAAATGATCCAAGTAAATTCATCGCTAAACAAATCTTTTTCTCTAACTCTTTGGTAAAGACTTAGCTAAATCTTTACCTTCTAACTATTTGTAATCGGATTCACTGAATCAAACAATAAAAATTAAATAAAACATATAAGATTCCAAATCAGTTGAACAAGTTGGCGTCTTATATATAACTTAGTGTTCTAATTTTCATTCCGCTCTTTCAGTGCTATCATGCATAAGAGATCAGAGATGTTTTCAATAGAGAAAGTAGGTAGTCAGCATCGTGAAGGAAACTAAGAAAGTCCCGTGGAACTCAAATAAATGTTAAATAAGAACGAAGTAAATTTGACAGATTATCTTGTGTGATATCTTCGTTGAACTGTCATGATTCTAACATCGATCAAAAACAGAAAGAAAAGACCCAATTATTTGTTCAAGTTTAGTTCCTCTGCAGAATTCGTTAAATAAGACATTTCAGGGGAACGTGGTGCCTTGCTGCTGAAAAAAAGTTTCTAAATTAGAGAAATTTTTCACCAAATCTTATAATGGACAACTGTAATCCATCTGAAAACACGTCGTGGTAAATTCCGAGAAATTAATTTTAGTTGTGAATTTTAGTGTTTAAATTACGTTTATGTGAAACTCATGAACTAATAACTAACTTCAGAAAAACGTGATGCGAAGAGAGTATTTGGATTAATAGCTTTAACGTGTTCCGAGAATCAAGCAAATTAATACAACGCTGAAAACCAGAGTTAGGTGTTGCCATTTTACGTAGATCATTTCCAGAGATAAAAAAGAAACAGTCGCCATTTAGTTACTTTGAAATAAGACTTACTTACTTGTTTAGGCCACACTTAGATTCTGCGGCTTCAGTGAAGATCTCCCATTCACGATAAACCGTTTTACAACTTTGTGAGAACGATGCTCGCAGTTTAAATTATATTTTATTGCAAAACAGGTGTTTACGTCGAAGCTTCTTAGATGTAAATGCACTATCTAGTTTTATCTTTTGTTTAATAAAAACGCCCTCTGTTTGTTTTTCTTTATGAATCAAAGTCCGGAAGAGAGCGAAAATTTAGGGATATCCGACAATTTTGTTGAGGTCGTCTTTTAGTTTGCAAGAAGTAATTAACTTGAGCTCGATTGAAAATTGATTGAGTTGTTTGTGAGTTCCAACAAATGGTTAACTGACGAACTTTACGTGTTTTCTGCGCGGCAAATCTGTTATATCAAAAACATCACGAAAAAGTTTCTCATGCTCTACATCTTGTAATTTAAAGTCACCATTGATTCAGTTCGAATTCTTGAGACGGGGAAAATCTTTGTTAATCTTTCTAAACTTTCAAACATTTTAGTAAGTCTTACTGTGACAAATTTTCCACAGTAAACCCCGTTTCAGTCAGTTTCCTAACGTTAAATTTCAAACGTTGCACAATAGTGCATCAATTATTAAAGTTTGTCAAGAAATTTGTTTCGTATTGATTTCTTTCGCTTCGACTGATATGAGAGAAGAGCGGACAAGTATTTATAAAAGGTTGCGACACCGAGTTTCGCATGATAAAGCGGTTTACGGTTTACTGTATTCACCTGTTTCACACTTCTCTAGTCGAAGTTGATGCGCTTTTAATTTAATTTTTATTAAGGCGGTTTCTTGCCATTGTTTCCTGATTGCGAAAAGTGCCAAATGGCCAGAGACGCGACCTATTGAGAAAAGCGATTATCCGGAGCTGATTTTGACGGCGTTTAGAAAAAAATGTCTTTCTCCCACTTACGATGAAGGCTTTTATTTTTTTTCAAAGCTGCACATACTTGAAAAAAATAAAGGCAAACGCCTCTAAAGCGCCGATGCGTGCTTGCACGTGCTTTTCATGTGTAAATTCTCGCCCGCATTGTACTTATCCTGATAAGGCACGCCGAGACCTCCACCCCTGCTCGCTTCTGACCACAGAAACCCACGCTGTTCTTTAACAAAGCATCGCTCAATTTCACCAAAATTAAATTGTAACTCTTAAATGATCTTATTAATTCAGTTTCCGCCTCATTGTGAAACATACTAGCCTCTTCCCCTTTAATCATCATTTCATTTCATCTGCTCCTTCCGACGTGGCGTAAACACGTCATTCAAATGATAAATTTTCTCCTCCAACAGACGCCAGAGTTCCCATAGAGCTCTGGCCAGCGTCAGACGCGCCACTCACGTTGACAGATAGCTTGGAAATAAATCCGAAACGCTAAAGGCATCTGAAACATTTGCGAAAAGATCACGAAGACATCCTTACTAAGGTAAGAACACGACCATTTGCGATTGTACGCAGAACTCAACAAATGTCTCTTTGAATATGACATTTTTTGAAAAATTTCGAGTTTTCGTTTTAAAAACTTTTAAAGTAAAATCGCTGTAACAATTTTATTTCACTGGCTTCTGAAGGCAGCATTAGAACATGAACCAGTTTGATACCATTTTAATCTTACATTTTTTAAAACGTTTGTGGTAAAAAAAAAATTATAAAACCCTTTCTTTAAAGCTTTCTTTAGAGAAAGCAAGATATATCACCAAAATGTCAATAAATTTTGAGTGGTAGTAACTTGAGGTTGAACACTAGTTGTGAAGCTTTTGAGCTACATTTTGAAACTAGCAACAAAGAATTATGAGTTCCCACAATGTTTTTCTTAATCCACCATTTTTCTTTTTCTTTTTTTTACCATCTTTGATCAAATGATTTCATCATATCTCAAAATATCAGGTGTTATTAAAAAATTAGCAGACTTTAATTTCAATAACTTTTATCTTTTCAGTGAAAAACATAATTGCTGATCAGTTGTCAATGAATTCAAGACGTATTCATATAAATTATTAATTTTCTGGCTTTCATTTTACGATGTAACTTTATTAGATTGAAATCATTTTTATTTCGTAACGTTATTCATTTATCAGACAGACATGGTTTTAAACAAGTCAATTTCTACCAACTCACTAAAATAATTTATAGCATTTTCAAATTATCGCAAAATTTGATTGATCAAGCGTCTCACAAAACTTCAAATTTAGAATATGTACAGTACACTAGTTCATCTCTTCTACATAAAGCCAGTATTTTCGGGCTAAAGAAAAATATTTTGCTATCAAGCTGATCGAAAATACATCGAAGTTGTTATTGTTGTTCAAGAGATAATGAACGGAAAAATAATATCTTGTGTTGTTTGAACCATCACCGTGAAGCCTATTTCATTTTAATCCTCAAGAAACTCATCAAGAGAAATATATGGAGTTTTCAAAACTTTCTTTCAAAGAGAATTTACAAAAGATACTTATCATCATATGTAGTACACTATAAAGCGTTTTATTTACTCAGCTCAAATGAGTTTTAACCAAGTTTCAATTCAATCAAAAATTAAATCAAGCCAAGAAATAAGGAAGACCGCAATTTTAGTCATTACAGAATCGCAGAATTCGTGCCTCTGCTATCTCATTCATTACAAGATGTAATCAAATTAAACTTACCTAAGTTATCCGTCGTCATAAACGACCTCCGTTTTTTTTTTTCACTGCTTGTCTAAAAACCCGAATTCTTCTAATGGCGAGATCGCATATTTATACTCAAATCAAAGGATTTACAATTACCTTAGAATATTTCCTTCCTTACTTTGGCTCTGGTGTAAGAAACTCTCCCGAGAAT